CTTCACGCACACCGCCGTGGCCGCGCACGCGCGTTGCGCGCTGGCGTCACTTAGCAACGGATCAACCGTGGGCCGGTAGGACCCAGGATTTCGGGGCCCCAGGTCGCCTCAGGCGGGGTCTTGCGGCGCGTCTCCGCCCGTCGGAGCCACTATCCCTCCTAAACTGGGCCCTCAGGGTGTGGCTGCCCTGCCGGCACCTGGCTCAGGGTAAGTCACGTCATCATACGTCACTGAATAGCGTCATCGGTCACGTCACTCCGTACGGAGACGAGCCGGAGCGCCTGTAAGAGCCAGCCTTAACCTTATTCAGTTAGTCGCCTACCAGAGGGATGGTCTGCCGGGTGCGAGAAAGTTTTACAAGGAGAAAGAATGAACCAAGTGAGTCTTTAACAGCATTAAGGTGCGATGAAGGCCAGGCCTGGAATCCCGTGACTCAGTTTTCTCGTTCTCTAAGTGTGAAAAATGCCTCCTAACCTGCTTGCACTGGAAAGGTGTGAATTTAAGGACGAGATAATGCGTGCGATGCTACTGAAGAACCCGGTTTATTCGAACTTTTAATTTCAAGACCCTGGCGGAAGCCCGTCCATAACTGCTCCCCATTCCACCTCCCAGGACTACCAGATGTGTACAACCCTTTAGACTTCATCTTTCACATAAGAAGAGACGGTAGAGCAAGGAGAGCAAGAACTGCTTACTTCGAAGCCGCAGACTAAAGAGTCGTCTCCCTTGAGAGTTAGGTTCTTATCTGAGTACGAGGATTTGAAGATGAAAGATAGTCCCAAACAGAGACGTCTTAAATAGGAAGTGGAAATAAACAGAAACCGCTTGGGCAGGACCAGGGACTCCCATTTAGAGGCTATTGTAGCATCCTAGAGAAGTGATCAGAACCGCTAAGGCCCTGGGAGTGGGACTGTAAACAAGAAGGCCAGCGCCAGAATTCTAATGCGGGTTGAGATAGGTGGGCGGAACATTTAGCAAGATGGAAAGAAAGATGCCTTTGTGTCTGCAGGTGCGTGAGTTACTGAATGGTAATGACGTTCCTGACGGATGGCTGTGGTAGACAGACGAGTTGGAATGTGAATGAATACGCTGGTTGGAGAAACACACTCCTCTCAAATCTTTTATGTGGAATGATATCCATTAATTGAGTACTTCTAGCATTTGCTACACATGTCCCTAATTGACTTTTCCTTGGAGAATTGACTTCTCGATTGGTAAATTTAAAAGAACAAACTGTACATGGGGAGGCTTTAAGAAACTGTTAGATTGTGGTGAATTGAAGGTGCCTAATGCAAGGGTACAAAGCAAACCCTAGAGTTTAACATTAGAAAACTGCCCACAGGTGATACCCTATTCCAGCTTTGGTAATTGTGTTTTACAGAATAATGTTCCCCACATTGGCAAACACCCCCATCTTCATAATCTACTGTGACAGAAGGGAGTTTGCAGATATGGTTCAGTTAAGGACATGAGATGCTTCGGGTTGCCGAAGTGGGGAGCATCAGAGTGGGGAAGGGGCATATGAAAGAAGCAGAGGTCACAGACTTGAAGATACCACCCAGTTATCCTTGAAAATGGATCAAAAGAGGGCAGGAATCGAGTGAATCACCATAGCCATAAGAAACTAGCACCGTCAACAATAAAGACAACAGTTTCCTGGTGCATTCGCCTTTCTCTAGAAAAAAATAAAAAGATCACAGTTTATCAGGTTGCTTCACAGACTCACACTGTGACTATGGACCCCCCACATTTAGAGGAAAATGTCTAAGCCAAATTGCACAGGTCTGTGACAGCTGAAAGAAGTCGAAGTTTGGAGGAGGTTAAGACCTCGATGGATGAGATCAATCAAGGCAAAAATACAATGTCAACTTTTATATTAGACTGAGTTGCTTATAGCAGCATCCTTAAAAACCTACTAAGGCCATTTCACCAAACACTCAGAGTTAACGTAGGCTGTGCTACTTCTACCCAGACAGCTGTGGCTACCACTCAGTTACAAAAGCTATTCAGTTTAGAGGAAAGGTAAACACGTGGGTAGTTAGCTAGTTGCTAATGGGTGTTTGTTTGGGGTTTTTTGTTAAGGTGTGCACATACTGTAGCAGACTAGAGAAAGCTGAAACAGTTAATAGACCAAGGTTTAGACCATGACAGGCAGTCCCTTTCTAGGAAGCCTTCTATCAGAGTCCTAAATGGATCAAATGCTCTTTCTCCATACTCTAATACAATACCCACCACTGTAGCATTTACTGTAATAATGGTGCTCCCTACATGCCAGGCATTCTGTTCCTGCACCTGTGCTCCTGTGTCAGTGTTATAGGCAGCACTAGCTCATTCAAGTCTTGTCGGAGCCCGATGAGGTAAGCAATACTATTAATTACAGTGCTTACAGATCAGAAAGCTACATCACAGAAAGTTTAATTACTCAAGCTCACTAAATTAATAAGTGATAGAGCCAGGATTACCAATGCTAGAACCCGTGTATTGTAACCATTCCTACCACATACTCCCAGTTGACATGGAGGGATGCTGGAAAACAGGGCTTACACAGCTCAGCAGTCTGTGTGTGATTCCTCTCCTTCCCTGCTGTGAACACCGCCAAAGACTCTTCTGCCCACGTTGAAAGTCACAGATCCTTGGGCCACTCTGGATAACTGATGTGTCTCTGTTTATTGGCAATACCAATTATATAACTGAATTGTGTAACCATGTTTCCAAGTTCATGTCCCTGCCCCAAAGCCCTGAGTAAATTTGCTCACTTAGCATTTGTGACTGAGTGGATTGGCCTGCATATCTCTTTCCACTGGTGTGCTAGTTTTTATCGTCACCTTAACAAAATATCTGAGATAACCATGTGTGTTGCAGCTCCCAGTTGTAGAGGCTTCAGTCTGGTATCCAGGGGCTTCATTGACTTTAGGCCCATGGAGTGACAGAGTGTATGTGGGAGCACAACCACTCACCTCATGGCCAGAAAGCAAAAAGAAAAAAATACCAGGATCCCACAATCCCTTTCAAGGGCACATTTTTTTTTTTATTGATTTGAGGACTGGCACTAGGCCTTATATCGTAAAGGCCCCACCACCTCCTAATGATGCTCCCCTGGGGACCTTCGAGACATGAGCTTCAGAGAATATTCTAGATCCAAAGTATAGAAGTTAGTTTGAAGCTTTTCTGCATATAAAATTGGAAAAACTACCTAAATTTTCTTATTTTTTAAATTACTGACAGCATTGATTTTATAATTTAAAAAAAAAACCCTCATTTTAAAAGGAATGTTTTGGGGCCAGCCAAATGGGTCAATAGATACAGAAAAGCATCTGCTGTGCAAGACCTGAGTTCAATGCCAGGGAACACACGTGGTAGAGAGAGCAGACTTCTGCGTGCCATTCTATGACTACTACATGTATATAGCACAAATGCTCATACATACACATAAAAAAGTGTTTTCAAAGTTGCCCTCTGACCTCCACACATGAGCTCAGGCATGCATGTTGCTGCCACACATACACACACACACAATATTTTAAGTGTTTGTAAGTTTAATTTCTCACATTTAGATTGTGGGTAAGAACTAGTTTCAAGTTTCATAACTTTGAAAGTCCAGATTGAAAGATTCACTGTCCAGAAAGTGTGACCTTTCTTGTGCATGTATGTGTGTGTGTATATATATATAATATATAATTTAGATAAGGGACTGGAGAGATGACTCAGAGACTAAGAGTACAGACTGCTCTTCCAGAGGTCCTGAGTTCAATTCCCAGCAACAACATGGTGGCTCACAACTATCTATAATGCAGGCATACATGCAAACAGAACACTGTATACATAATAAATAAAAAAAGAAAACATGAAAAAATAAACTTAAACTCTAGATAATATGTGGGTTCTTTGAACACATATTCTCCTTGCCTTAGAAACAAGAGTGTCTGTTTTCCTATATGTTGCTAATATTAATGGAGTTTCAAAGCTGTAGATGTCCTTGCCACTCCCCATTTGTCAGTGAAAATGAAGGTAGTTCCCAAACAACATGGCCTAAGTTTAATTTGCCTAAATCCAGTAACTACTACCAGGTTAGTCTCTTTTCATTTAGTTTTGCTTGTTGAGACAGGACCTCTCTACATAGCCCCGACTGTCCTTGAACTCTGAGAGGTCCACCTGCGTTCTGGGTGCTGGAATTAAAGGAATGTACTACCATGCCATACCTATAAGGTTCATTTGTTTTCTTTTGTTGTTGTTGTTGTTCTTTTTTATTTTATTTTATTTTTGAGACAGGGTTTCTCTGCATAAAAGTCCTGGCTCTCCTGGAACTCACTTTGTATACCAAGCTGGTCTCAAACTCACTGAGATCTGCCTGCCTCTGCTTCCCAGGTGCAGGGATTAAGGCATGCGCCACCACTACCCAGAAAAGGTTCATTTCTTTACCAACGGGTGTGTTTTACATGTTATCCTTCCAAGTATATTTACTAATGGGTCACTTTGCTGATAGCCATACATAGTTCCTAAGATTTCGTTCAGATTCTCCCTTAGTCAGGAGTGAGCAGTGAGCCTGGAGAGATGGCTCAGTGGTTAAGAGTTTGTACAATTTCTGCAGAGGATCTGAGAGCACTCATGTAGAGCAGCTCACTGCCTGTAACACCTGTTCCAGGGGTCCAGTGCCCTCTTCTGGACACCAAAACTTCTGTGTTCACATGTGCACGTACTCTCACAAAGATACACACTTGTATATACTAACACTAATATAGTATTGCATATACCAATACTTCCTTGAAAAAATTTAATCCAACTCTTCCATTGTTCTACAACACGGCATTTCAGTATTTAAATAGCTCAAGCAAATGGGTATTGTTCTGTGCCCCACTTAACCGACTTTGCCATGTGGTGCAATAAAAGCATCCAGATTGTCAGACTTGAAGTCTATTAATCTCTAAATATTGGCAATTAATATGAACTTTAAAGAGAAAGTAACTTCTGAGTTTATAGACCTTCTGCTCTCCTGGATAAAACTTGAACACTTTTCCCCCTTATTTTTGGACAGCTGGTTTTATTAAAATTCCTAGATTGCCTGTGCCCCCCAGCTACTGTCATAGAGACAGGAATGGTCATATAAGGTTAACAGTCATGACATGGGGTTGCTCACTCTTCACAAAAAGCTGTCAACCCCCTTCCATCTGCTGATGCTATTACTGAATTCTGAACAGTGTGTATCTGTCGTTAGCCAAGCACACAATGCTAGCTGGTCCCGCAGAAAACATGCTTGTCCATATTGTCCTAAGCACAAACTCACAAAACTTCCAGCCCCCTGCCATCAGTGTGGTACCAACTTGTTGAGTATGGCACCTCCCCAGAAGCCCCCCAGAACCTATGAATGTCTGTCCTGTAAGACCTACTGTGTACTTGATGGCTTTGCATTCCCTACGGGAAATCTCCCATGGGACATTTTCTTTCAAAGCCTATGAAGTAATTACCTTGAGTAACTGGCATCATTTTTTTCAGGTTTTTTTTATTATTATTAAAAATTTTCACCTCCCATTTCCCTCCTCCTCCCTCCATTCCCCCTCCCCCTTCCTCTCCAGTCCAAAGAGTGACATCATTTTTTGTGGATGAAGAAACTATGTGGCTCCACGGTTCCTCTTTTCATCTTGGCTGCCCTGAAGCTCTGAGTCAAATTTATAGCTCTGGACTAGGAATGCAGCTTAGATTTGCTTTAATGCGTGCAAGGCCCTGGCTTCAATCTCCAGCACCCACGAGAAAAGATAAGGAAGGAAATGTGACAACTATGATTGAGTGCCCAGGTATGAAGTCGTGGCCTGCATGTCTGCATTCTGCTTTGTTCTGGGTTTGCTTGCTCAGAATCATGTATAAATGTTTGCAGCCTCTGTGTAACTGCAGCCGTCATCAGTTGTTTGGGAAAATGAATGACAAGTATTCTCATGATAGCTGTCTAATGCATAAAGTGTAGCCTTCTGCCCTCACTTCAGGCTGGGACGACTGTGTCTGATGAGTTCTCCCCGGTTTAGTGAGAGTAGGAACCATGAGTTATCTTCAGAGAAGTTTCAACAGTATTGCAATTCTGCAGGATGACATTCCTTCCACTTTTCCTTCGGAAGGAGATGGATAAATGAAATCAATAAACAAGCCCCAAGTTCTCCGATACTCTTGGTTTCTCTCATCTCTCTCAATGCTGTCTTCCAGGGGGCTTGAATTTCAAAGAGTAAATATATACTATAGTCTTTGCTTATACCTCCATTCTACCTCAGTTTAATAATCTGAGTATGTTCTATAATACGTATGTTTCCACATGTATATTTTGGTGTTGGAGGTTCTTCTATCTTTGTGTTGCTTTCATTGGTTAATTAATAAAGAAAACTGCTTGGCCTGATAGATCAGAACATAGGTAGGCGAGGTAGACAGAACTGAATTCTGGGAGAAAGAAAGCAGGGTCAGAGATTGCCACCATGGAGCCATCCGCCAGGTCAGACATGCTGAATCTTTCCCGGTAAGCCACGACCTCGTGGTGAACACAGATTATTAGAAATGGGTTAAATCAAGATGTGAGAGTTAGCCAATAAGAGGCTAGAACTTATGAGCCAAGCAGTAATTTAATTAATACAATTTCCGTGTGGTTATTTCGGGAATTAAGCTAGCCAGGCGGCGGGAAGCAGCCTGCTTCTCCAACTACAATATTTTAACAGAAAGCACATGAAAGATCAAAAAAGACTCATTGTTGTCTTAATAGGTCTTTGGTATTTATATAGGTGATGGTAGAGAGGGACTGCGTGTGGTGACGAGTCCCACTCATCAGATACCGTTACCTCATTGGTTGACTGTTTTAACCACGAGATTATCATCAGCACAGGAAACTAAAGCAGCATGTAAGTGCAAGACAAATCTTACAGCATGCCACGATTTTTATACTTGGATTTTGGCATGTCTTCATTTCTTGATATACCAAGAACCTTTAAAAATTGCCCAGGTTTTCTTTTTGCCCTTTTTCATATGCAGGTTACTGTGAGCTAGACACAAAAGGGATGCAGAAATGAAGGTGGGGTTTCAGGTTTCAGGGAGTTTGGTGCAGCAGCCTCCACTCTAAACACTCATCTCTCAGTCTCCAGTTCCATTTTGAGGACTCAGTAGCCGCTGTGATAGACAGTTCACGTATAAATCGTTTGGGTTATTGCAGAAAGTTCTGTTCGAATCATAGGAGAATCAGGCAGATAAGGTAGCATGATGTAAGAATGGCCTGGATGTGTGGATACCCATCACCCTCTTTGGAGAGTTCTCAGAAAGTCTCCTTTCCTTGATGTTTGACAGATGCCCACAGGAACTCTGGTACAGAACATGCATGTGCCACCCTCAGGACCATCAATGTAGGCCAAAGGAGAAGATACTTTAGATTCTCAGTTCTGTCCTGGTTTCATCCAGTAAAAGTAAATACCTGCTGAAAAAAAAACACGTTTCCAAAATCTTTGGCAGAAAAAAAGCACTAAGGCAGATGTTCCAAAAGAGGAAAATGGGGCAAAGGAATAAAGTCTGCTCTGCATAAAATAGAAAAATACAGATAGTCAAAAAAGTATTGGAAAACATCTCATTTCACTTGTCCCCAGGGATATTGGGTCA